TAAAAAAAAAAAAAAAAAAAAAAAAAAAAATAGAAAAAAAGCTTTAATCGAAACAGAATAATAATTAAAAAAAAAAAAAAAAAAAAAAGATATACTTGTAGAAATTAAAGTTATAAAAAAAAATAAAAACTCCATATAACCGTGAAAAAACAAAATAAAAAAATATGTTAAGAGAAGAATATATAGAAAACAATGAGGAAATAAATGACTTTTTTTATAATTTATCCAACGTAATTGATGAAAATGACATAAAAAAATTAGATAAAAATAGGAAAACAAAGAGAGAAAAAAAAAAAGATAAAAGAGAATTATTAAAAGAAAAGAGAAAGAAAAATAGACCAGAAGAAAAAAAAAGGAAGAAAAATAAAAGAAAGGAAGAATTATTAAAAATATTAAATGACATGAATGAAGAAGAAAAAATAGCATATTTAAAGGAAAGAAAAATTTTAGAGAAAAAAATGAAAGAAAAAAAAAGAGAATTTTTATTAGAATCTTTTACTATGGGTTACAAAATATGTTTTAATTGCAATTTTCAAAATTACATGGAAGAAAAGGAAATATCAAGTTTAGCAAAACAAATTTTTTTATCATATCATTATATGACAAAAAACAACATACCCATACAATTTCATTTTACTTCCTTAAATAATAACGATAGTTTATTTTCATATCTTAAAAAATATTCAATAAATAAATGGAAAGTTCATAAACATACAGAAAATTATTGGGATATTTTCTCAAAAGAAAAAATTGTAGTTTTATCACCTGATGCTATCGAAGTAGAAAAAAGAAAAAAAAAAAATCCAATTAAAAAATTAAACATTAATCATTTTCTATTTTTTATTTTATCTCATAATATTACAGGAATTAGAAGAAGTAAAAAAAGATGAAGTATATATTATTGCAGCTTTAGTAGATAGAAGTGTATCTAAGGTTTTGTTATATATAAAACTAAAATATAATTATATATATTATATATATTTTATAAAACATTTTTTATTTCTTTTATTTCTTTTATTTTTTTTTTTTTTTAATTTTCTTTTAGAATTTATCTTTTTATGAAGCGTCTTCATATGGTTTCGTAACAAAGAAATTGCCTTTAGAAGTATAATTTAAAAAAAAAATATATATTTTTTAATATATATACATGTTAAGATATTTATTTATATATTTATTTTATTTTTAGAAATATATTAAAAAAAAAAAAAGCAATGTTTTAAATGTTAATACTGTAGTTGAAATTTTAATAAATTATATAAAAATTAAAAACTGGAAAAAGGTCTTTGAAATTTGTATTCCACAAAAAAAAGTTCTTTGTTTTTGTCATGAATTATCTCAAAATGAAAATAAAAATATAAATATATATAATAATAAATATGAATATGAAAGTGAAAATGAAAATATGGATAGGAATCTAATTCAAAATATAAACGAATGTAATAATAAAGATATTCATGAGAATATTTATGAGAATATGAAAAAATAATACAAACATCAAAATAATTTAATATTTGTATATTTTAATAGAAGGTAATATATCAACAAAAATACAATTATACTTTTTTGTTATGAAACATTTTTAATATAATAGATATATGCTAATACCTTACAGATATGAATAAAAAAAATATATATTAAAAAACTTAAATATTTTTCTAAAATTTTCGAAAATTAATTGCAAACAACATATTTTTTTGTGTATTCTGTATCAAATTTATTTTTAAGATTTTTTATTCATTTTTATTATCTCCTTTGTTTAAAAAGTTAAAAACGTAACTTAAAAATATTTAATATTTTTTATAGAATTAATTTTTTTTTTTTTTTTCCTAATAGCACTTTTATAATATAATTATTACCTTTAATTTTAAAAAATTTTTAATATTCAATTTAAAAAGAATTAAAAACAACAATTACATTCGAAAGGACATTCTTTTGTGTATCCTCCTTTCCCTGTATAAAATAAATAATTTTTCATAAATAAAAATTCATATAGAATTTTTTTATTTTTAAAAAAATAAAATAAAATAAAGATTACCCATCTTAAGTTCTTCCATTGAATAAATAGGTAAACCATCTGGAGTATACAGTCTTTCACCTACCTTCTTTCGTGATACTTGGTTTTTATCTTTTTTCTTTTTATTCTTTATAATGCTTTTTGAATCTTTTTTAACCTTTTCTGTTTCATCAACCTTATTACTTTTGTTTTTTATTTTTATATTACTGAATATATCATCTATATTCGACTTAACTTCTAGCATTTCTTCTATTCTTTTTTTATTTCTTTTTTTTTTCTTTATTTTTTTTCTTTTTTCACTTTTATCTTTTTTTAATAACTTCTCTGTCATTTTAATAAAATAAATCTCTTCTTATTACTTCTTACTTTAAAAATTGTAAAACTATAAATATGTTAATTAACATATAATTTCTTTATATTAAAAAAAAAAAAAATATATATTAATTTATTTTTGTTGTAACTTATATTTTTTTTAAATTGTATAACAATAAAATTTTTTTTCCATATTTAATTTTTAATTTTTTATTTTTAAAAATATAAAATTCTTCATTTAATATGTTTTCTTAATTATAAAAAATTTATCTTCTATTTAGCAAATATATATAAAAAAAAAAAAAAAAAAAAAAAAAAAATAGGAATAAAATAAAATAAAAATATATAAAAAGGCAAATTATGAAAATACTATTTTATTATGAAAATGTTCATATATTTTTTTTTGCTTTTTTTAGATAAAATTTTTTTTTAATACATTTATATTTTATTACTGTAAACAGAAACTTAAAAAAAATTAAAATTAAAGATAGATATATAAAAAAAAAAATTATTTCAATACTTACTATAAAAGTATAAAAATTCATCAAATTATGTTGTTTTTTAATCTAGTGGTTATATATGTATATATAAATATTAATGCTTATAAAAAAAAAAATTCCAAAAAATTCAAAATTATGAAAATGAACATACTTGAGTAATCTATGGTACTATATATTATTCATGAATTACATAATATCATTTATATTTTTAAAATTTTTCTAATTTTTTGTTATATATGTGCTCTTAATATTAAAATTACAATTCATGTTTCATAATTATATCATATTTATGTTTATTATCTGAGTCTTTTTTTTTTTTTTTTTTTTTAGTTAAAATGTGCTGTTTACTATAATGCTTTTTAATACTTTATTTTATTATTATTATTATTTCATTTGGAAATTATTACTTTGTCTTTATTATTATTACTTTATATAACTATAGTTCTTATTTTTATTTTGTTCTTCTTTTTCATTTTTCTATTTTCTTTTCTTTTTTTTTTTGGGGGGGATTTAATCATCTCTAATTTCTAATTCCTTACTATCTTTTATATTATTATTATCATTATCTTCATCATCTTCTTCCTTCTTATTATCTTTATTGTTTTTTAGCATATTTTTCATCTCTCTTTCCTTATTCCATCTTTCAATTTTTTCTCTTCTTTCTACACTATTTTCTCTTCTTGCATATTTATAGCTTCTATCAGCATCATCCTCATAATCGTTACTTTTACTTCTATTTCTCCGCCTACCAATATAATGACCTTCTTTATACCTATCTCTTTTATATTTATCTTTACTACCCCTTTCTCTATAACTATCATTATAATCATCCGAATCATCACTTCGTTTCCTTCTTTTTCTATATTCAGGAAATTTTTTATACATTCGTCTATATAACTTTCTTTTCACACTTCTAGGTACATGTTTGATATGCATAAAATTGCAATATCCTCCTCTTCTACATTGCCCATCTACAAACTGCCTGCATCTTGCCTCTCTAAAATCGGTAACTGGAGTGTATTCAATCTGTAACGGTTTACCAGCATAAAATCGTCCATTTAGTTCCTTAACAGCTTTCTCAGCATAATCTTCATGTGTATATTTAATATAAACGTTACCAATAATGTGATCCCCTATATTATCACAAACAACCATATCTTCAATTTCTCCATACTTCATTAATTCCTCAAAAACTTCTTCATAAAATTCTTCAAAATGATCAGCTGCTTTATCCAGTACTTCATCGTCAACCATTTGTCCTTCTGCAATTGCAACAGCTATAGGTGGATTATCATACATATGTCTTATAACTAAAGTTTGTGAACAATTTGGCTTGTAATGACTTCTACTGCATTGATCTCCATGACGACATGCTCCAATTTTCCAAAAAAATGGACAGTTCACTCTATCTTCTTCTGTTCCTATTATACGAGCTAAGTGCTCAGCCATCTTTTTTTTTTTTTTTTTTTTTTTTTTTTTTGAATTGAAATAAAAAAAAAAAAAAAAGTTATTTCACTTACATCTAAACATTTCTTTTTTTAATTCACATGTACTTGTACATATAAATTATTATATGTTCATGTGAAATTGTAACAAAAAAGAAAAATATAATTATGTATTTTATTTTAATAAAATACTTGTACGTATTTTTTGTGTAATATTGTATTAATATTATATAATAATATGTACTAATAATATATAATAATATTGCAAAATTATAACTATTTTTAAATGATAATTATTATTATCTTATCTTTCTAAAATACGGAGTCATCAAAAAAAAAAAAAAAAAAATTATAATATAGTTATATATGTATACTATATATATATATATATTTCTACTTTTTTATATTTAAAAAAAATATGTATTCTTTATAACAGAATATATTTCAGAAAATTTATACAATAAGTAATATTAAAAAATCTTCAATAAAACAAAGAAATAATAAAGAAATTTTTTTTTTTTTTTTTTTCCTGTTAAAATATATAAATTATTATATTTAATTTTAGTTATAAAATTTTTTATGATAAAATTTCTCTTAATGCTTTAACTTCACACTTTAAATAAAAAATTAATATATTTATAAAATATAATTTAGTTATTCTCATGAATTATAGTTCCATTTTTTTTTATTAACTTAAAATTAGAATAATAAAAAAAAAAAAATTTAATTATTTTCAAAAAGGAAAAGCACCTTTTTAGTCTCATAAATTTGAAAAAATTTAATTTTGTATATTAATGAATAGATTAAATATAAAGTTGTTTTACATAATTTTCGCTGTAAAAGATTTCTTTTTTTTTTTTTTTTTTTTTTTTTAATCATTGTAATTTTTATTAATTTTATAAAATTTTTTAATTTTCATATATTTATATTTAACTTACAATTTTATTTAAAAAAAATTATAAGAAAATATATACTAACTATATTATAATAAAATTATTTTAATATATATGATTTGCTAATTTTTTTCATTTATTATACTTTTTTTATTCCTAATATTTATTCAAATTTAGCATAAAATAATAAGAACATCACAAATGTCTCAATGAGTCTTAGGAAATAATAAAACCTTTTTTTTATGATTTTCCTTTTTTTTTTTTTATATATCTTTTTTTGTTAAAAAAAAAAAAATTTTTTTTTATTTTAATTTTCAACTCATTACTTTTTTTGTATTAAAGTAAAATCTGAAAATCCAATGAAACTCTTTTTTATCCTTTAATTTAAAATATATGAATATATATATCTATATTTATATAAAAAAATATGTTTAATGGAGAAAGTAAAAATAGAAGGATTAACTTAAGTGGGAAAAAACATGTTATACTTAATAAAGATTGCTTTATTGAAAAGGCTAAAAAAGAAAAAGAAATAAATCTAACTTTAACAAAAAGAAAAAATGCTTTTAAAGTTATAGCACTATATTTTAGTTATAAAAAATTTATAGAAAATAGAAGAAAAGAAATAGACAATGTTCTTTCGAAAAGAATAAACGATGTAATTTTATTAGAAAAAATAGTATCACCAGATGTTTATAGACAAGCTTTACAAATATGCTTATATGAATTTTCAGTGCAATCTACATTTCTTTATTCAGAGCTAAACTGCTATAATCATTATAAGTATATGAAATTTGATAAGATATATGCACCAATAGGAAAATTATTAGATATACTGAAGTTATATAATAAAATCGATAATATAGATGATAATATAGATGATAATATAAATCTGAATAGTCAAATAAATAATAAGAAAAAAGTGAATAATAGTCAATTAAATCTTTATAATGAAAATGAAAATAAAAACGACGACAAAAATATATATATAAAATTAAATAAAGAAAACTCAGAAGAAAAAAAAAATAATAAGGATATTTGTAACCTTGTAATAAAAAACAAATTCTATTATAGACATAAAAAAGAAATAAAAATTTTAATAAATCATTTAGACATTTTATTAGGAAATTATTACATGTGTAACTTAAATATATATAATGAATTTTATAAAAAGGAAAAAACAGTAAATGACCAAAATTATATGCGTGATTGTAGTAATAAAAAAAAAAAAAATGATATAAACTTAATTTCACATTTGTATTATATATATAATTTTGTATTAAATAATTCCTTTAATGAGGAATTGGCAGAAAAACTAAAAATGAAAGAAAACAAAAATATGATCAGTGGTAATGATGAGATAATTTTGTCATTAAAAAAAATTGGTGAATATATTATTTTAAATATAGAAGGATTAATTACTGTTATAAAAAAAATTTATTTATCTTACAAGGATAAAAATATTATTATGTTTGATTCTATAAAACTAATGATGTATATATGTGATATGATATTTTTGTATTTTTATATAATAAAAATAAAAGGAAATGATTTTAAGAAAGATTATATAATTGATTTAAAGTATAAAATTAATTTGCTTTTAAATTTTTTATTATTAAATATACCTTTCATAAAAGATCATTATTATCTATTTTTATCTTTTTTTAAATATCAGATATATGAAATATTTATGTGCAACATCGAATTAAAGAATGAATTAAAAATACTAAAAGGTTTATTAATAATAATTATTAAAAATACCTACAAAGATATAGACATAATGAAAGAATTAGTTTATAATTATGTGAACGTAAAGATATGCAATAATAAATTTCATTTATTAAACCAAAAATCATTTGACAATAAAAATATATCAGGAGTTAATTTATTTAAAAATTTACTTCTTTTTGTTCATTTTAACAAGGAATTATTAGATGATAATGTTTTAAATATTTTATTAGAACTTTATTTACTTTTGCCATTTGATTATCACCCATATATTTACATGGTTAATAACGTTAAAAATAATGTAGATGAAAAATATAATTCTAACGACATGCATATATATGATGTTTTAAATGATCAAACAAAAATAAAAAATGAATTATCAGTTAACAAATTAGTTGATAAAGATAATAAAATATTAAATAATAAAAATAAAAATGGGAAATATTTAGAAATGGGTTATTATTACAATAAAAATATAATTGATTCTCTTATATATATATGCAAAAAGTCATTTTTTAAGAAATTAGATGCATTATTATTTCTTTTATTACCATTTAGAAGTATACATATACATATATATGAAGATTATAGAAATTATTATGACTATATAAAAAATATAAATAAGAGTTCATATGTTTCTACTAATGTAAATTATGAGAGTATTAATCTTAAAAAAAAAATATACGAATATCAGAGTTTAGATAATAATAATAATAATAATTTTTCAAGTTGTAGTAATATGCATAGGAGTTCTGTATTTAATAACTTAATTAATTTTAGTGAAAATAAAAATAAAAACTTTTTAAAAATTTCTAATACTACACAAAGAAACTCAAATATAAATCAACTTTCTAATAATAGTTTTTTTTTTTCCTTAAATAATTTAATTAGTAAAAGAGAGAAAAAAGGAAAAGGGTATGATATGATTAATAATGAAATTTTATTAAGAATAAAAAAAATATTAGTTTCTCATAATATTCACATATACTTAATAAAAAAAATATATTTATTCTGGTTTTATGATTGCAAATCAAATGACACCTTATTTTTTAGGAAATTGTTGGCATTTCCCTACTTTGATAACACTTGTATATCTATATATTTTTCTTCTTTTTGTTTTCTTTTATATTATTATATTATAGTTAATATGTATAATAAATTAATAGATATAAAAAATTACAAATATACAAAAAATTTTATGATGAATAAATGTTTTAAAAAAGTGTGTAAACTTTTAGTATTATCATTATGGGTAGTGTTAAAAGGATCTATAAACACAATTCATTACGAATTAATAAATAGAGATTCTAGTGAGAAAAATAAACACATTGAGAAAATAGAAGAAATTGCTGATGAAGATATATATAATGATGAAGATGAAGAATATGAAAGGGAAATGAATGAAAAAGAAGAAGAAAATATAGAGAAAATAGAAAATTCTGAACTTTCTGAATCTAATTTTGATTTATCTGTATTAAATTTTGAGAAGATAGAAATATCTTTTGATAAAGAAAAGAATATATTTAATTTCAGTAAAGAATTAACAAATGACATAATATTAAATGAAAATAAAGAAAAAATAGAAAATTATAAAAAAGGAACACAAAATATTAATAAAGAAGAAAATAACCAAATTAATAATAATGATATTTATAATAGTAGTAATAATTATAAGAATGATGAAGATAATTTTATGAGTTCTAACATTAATAAAATTCTAGATGATATTGATAATTTAGATAAATTTAGTAATTTAAATGAAAATAATTATGACATTGATAACAATATTAATGAAAATAATAAATTATATATTAATTATGACATATATGATAATATAAAGAATAATAATAATTTAAGTAATAAAAATTACAATGATTCATCATATACATCCAATATGATTAACTATTATTTATACAATAATGATAACAAAGGATTGAGTTATGTTTTACCCTTATTGTTAAAAAAGTTATATAAAGTTAATAGTTATATAAATATATTAGAGGAAGATTTTTTTGTAATAAAAGAAACATATAATTTATTAAAAAATAGATTTAATATAATAGGAGAAAGTAATAATATAAATTACAACAGTAATAGTTATGATGAGGATTCTTCATTATTTATAGAAAAAAATGACATTTATTTAAATAATAACATAAAGTATGTTAATGTATTAGCTAACTATTTATTAAAAAATGCTCCTTTTACCTTACCATTTGATGATAGAATATTAATATTTTATCATTTTCGTAATAAAAGTAAAGAAAATATAAGAGATGATTCAAGATATAATTTTCTTGAAAATAAACATAATTTAATTAGAAGAACAAATATATTAGAAGATGCTTTTATCACCTTACATGCATTAGATTCTGTTCAACTAAAACAAAATATTAGAATAGCCTTTATTGATAAAAATGGAAATGAAGAAACGGGTATAGATGGAGGGGGATTATTTAAGGAATTTATTATTTTATTATGTAGAGAAGTATTTCATAATAATTTTATTTTATTTCAGAATATTAAAAACAACACACTATTTCCAAAAACATATAACAAAAATGATAATTTAAATTTATATGAATTTTCAGGAAAAATAGTAGGAAAAGCTATCTACGAAAGAATATTAATTGAATCTGTTTTCAATAAAGTTTTTTTAAATCTCTTATTATTCGATGATATTGATATAAATGACTTATATTTTATTGATGAAAATATTTTTAATAGTTTGTTATATATTCAAAATACAAATGATGTAGAAAATTTATCTCTAACCTTTTGTATATATGAAAAAAAATGTCCAGATGATAACATAAAGAAATATGAAGAAATAAAAAATTATTTCAATTTATTAAGTAAAAATATATTGAATAACAATAATAGAAATAATGTGAACAATCTCCTCACGCAAAATACCTTTCATTATGCAAATATGAATAATTTTTTTAATATTATTGATAACTTGGATGTTTTAATTAATACACTCAATAGAAATCTTTCTTCATTTTCCCAAAATAATTTTTATGTAGACAATCCTTATTTCACTAATAGCGCTAGCATATTATCAAATAGAAATATGACGAATTTAAACATAACAAACGAAAATAGAGAAAACACAAATTTAACAAACACAAATACAAATGATAAAGAAAATAATATCTCAAATATTAACGAAAATAATGTTAATTATTTTCCAAATGAAAATGATGAAAATTTAATTAATACAAATTTTACTAAAGAAGATTTAGAATGTATTGACTTAATTGAAAATGGGCGTAATATAATTGTTAATGATAAAAATAAAAAATTATATATAAAATTATATATAAATTATAAATACAACAAATTAATAAAAAAAAAAACTGAATATTTTTTAAAAGGTTTATCTCAATTAATTCCAACCAAATGGTTTAAACTATTTAGTCCAAATGAATTAAAAACATTAATATCGGGAAATGATAAATGTTTCGATGTAGATGATTTAAGAAGAAATGTTGTATATGGTGGTGGTTATAATGAAAATAGTCAGACTGTTTTATATTTATTTGATATTTTAAAAAATTTTTCACCGAAAGAAAAAAGTTTGTTTCTTATGTTTGTAACTAGTTGTTCTAGATCCCCTTTATTAGGTTTTCAAGAACTCAATCCTAAATTTTGTATATTCAGAGTAAGAGATTATAATAGATTACCAACTGCATCTACTTGTGTGAATTTATTGAAATTACCTGATTATTTATCAAAAGAAATTTTATACAAAAATTTAATAACAGCTATAAATGATACACAAGGTTTTGATTTAAGCTAACCTAATTTAAATGAACACTTATCATTACGACTAAAATTTGTTTATTATCCTATTTTATTTATATTACATTCGTTATTATTACATTATTATTATATATCTACTAAAATATAAATCTTATCAGTAATATATGTGTTTTATTTATATTACTATTATGTCCCATATATTACCTAAAAGATTTTGTTAATTTTTATCTTTATTTTTATACACTCTTATTTTTTTTTTTTCAAATATAAAGAATTTTTTATGCTTTTTTGTTCCTGTATTTTATTTTGTATATATGTGTATATATTTATATATATAATGTTTTTTCTGTACTTTAATAAATGTATTTTTTCATTTTTCTTTTTTGTTCATTAACATATCTTTTTTTAAATTATACTATTAAAAATGAAGTATCTATTAATTTATATGCATAAAAATAACTTTTGTAAAAACATTATTAAAATAATTTATGAAAAAAAAAAAAAAAAAAAAAAAATATTAAAAAAAGCTTATTTTTTTATATAATATTCTTAAAAAATATATAATATAATTTTCTTAATAATCCTCTATTTTCAACAAAATAAAATAAATAAAATGCAAAAAATTTCAAAATTAATAATATATACTTTTAATTCAATTATATAAAGATAAAAAAATGATGTAAAATAGATTCTAGTAAAAAATTCTTTTTTTTTTTTTTTTTTCTTATAATCATGCTTAAAAAATTACTTGTTTGTATATGAATTATATATTTCACTATTTCATTCTATCACATCTTATTTTATTTTTACTTTTTTTTGTTTTATTTTGTTTCATTATATATATATATATATACATGTTTTGTTTTATATTTCTTTTTATTCCATTATTTTTTTTTTTTCTTTTCTTTATTTAAATTATCTTTTATTTATATTTATTATGGATAAAAATAAACACCATTATTTTAAACTATTTTTCTAGTTTTTAATAAAAAAAAAAAATATACTATTTATTTTCCATTTTTTCTAGTAAAAAATTTACACCTAAATAAATATATTTTTTCTTTTTTTTTTTTTTTTATTTTTTTATTTTTCTTATTTTGTTTTTATTAATTTCTTTAATGTTATGTTATTTATTTTATCTTATATTATTTCATGATTTTTCTTTAAATAAAAAATATATATATATATATTTTTTTTCTTTTTTTTTTTTTATACATTTAATTAGACATATAAAGAAAGAACATTGATATATATCATAAATAAATATAATGTTATTTTGAAAATAAAAGAAATAATTTAATCATTTTATTTTGGTTGTCAATAAAAATATTTTTAATACCAAATGTAAAAAAAATGTTATAACTTTTCTCTTTAAACTTGTTAAAAACATTATTAATAATAATAACCAAATTGAGCTTTAATTATATTTTTAAGGTTTCTTGAAAAAAATTTAATGAAAATTTATTTTAAAATATAAACAAAAGAAGAAAAATGGTTATATCCCAGTTTTATATATTATCCCCAAGAGGAGATACAATTATAAATAGAGATTTTAGAGGAGATATAACAAAAAGTAGTGCTGAAGTCTTTTTTAGAAATGTAAAATTATACAAAGGAGATGCACCTCCATTGTTTTATTTAAATGGTATTAATTTTACTTACTTAAAAAATAATAGTTTATATTTCGTTCTAACATCTTTATTTAACATATCACCAAGTTACTTAATTGAACTACTAAATAGGTTATTAAAAATTTTTAAAGACTTTTGCGGTCAAATAACAGAAGAAATAATTCGAATGAATTTTATTTTAATCTATGAAATTATAGATGAAGTAATAGATTATGGTTATTTACAAAATAGTAATACAGAATATATAAGAAATTTAATTCATAATGAAATAACTACAACTAATGCGAACAAAAAATTTGCTAATTTATCTAATTTTTCTATAAAAAATTCTAACACTTTACCTTCAAATGCCTCTCAAAAGCCTATACAAATTAATGACAAAAAAAATGAAATTTTTATTGACATTGTAGAAAAAATTAATTTAATTATGAACTCGAAAAGCGAAATTATATATTCTTATATAGATGGAGTAATTCAAATTAAGTCATATTTGCTTGGGAACCCATATATAAAAATAGCTTTTAATGATGATTTGTATATAAAGAATATTCATAATGATACTTCCAATAACATTATTATCGATGATTGTAACTTTAATCATTTAGTAAATTTATCACAGTTTGAAAAAGAAAAAATTTTATCTTTATATCAACCAGATGGTGAATGTGTTTTAATGAATTATAGAATAAATAATAATTTTAAAGCACCTTTTAAAATTTTTGCTAATATTATATATAATCAAAACCATACGGTAATACAAACACACACACACACACACATATATATATATATATACAGTAATAATAATAATATAAATTATTTATAATATATATAATTTTTTTTATAGGTTGAATTAAACATTCGCATAAGATTAGATATTCCTTCTCAATATACATGTACTAATGTTTTTGTAAATTGTAATTTATGTAAGCATATAACAAATGTTCATATAAATTTAAACACAAACACGGAATTATATTCAGCCCAATATTTATCAAATGAACATAAATTATTATGGACTATAAAAAAATTTAAGGTAATATATGTTTTAATTATATAAATACTTTAAAGTTAATTTAAAAAAATACATATTTATATATATATATATATATATATATTTTTTATTTGAAGGGAGAAAGTGAATATAATATAAGATCAAAAATAACATTAGCACCAAATTATGTTTATTCTAAACGTGATTTCGGACCAATTTATATTTTGTTTGAAATTCCTATGTTTAATTTATCAAAACTTAGAATAAAATATTTGAGAATCATTGAAAATTATAAATCAAGTAATACTCATAGATGGGTTCGTTATATTACTCAATCATCATCTTATGTTTACAGACTTTAAATTTAAAAGAAAAAACAAAAAACAAAATTAAATAATAAACACAATATATTACATTTAACAAGACATATTAGATATTTTTTCTATTAAATAAATTCTTATTAAAAAAAAAAAAAAAAAAAAAGGGAATATGTAAATGTTCTTTTTTTTTTTTTTTTTTTTTTTCAATTGTATTACCATAATTTAATACTTCAACTATATTAAAAAACGAAAAAAGAAAAAGGAAACTTTTTATTTTAAAAACTTGTAATTATTGCTTTGTGAATATTTTCTTTCTTTTTAATTATATATAAAGAAAAAAATTTTAATATAAAATTATGTTATCTATTTTGTATATATATTTTTTTTTTATATAATTTTTTATATAATTTTTTTTTTAAAATAAAAAAAGTAAAATTAAATATAAAAATAGAATCCACAAATATAATTAAAGTATAACGAATTAATAAAACAAAAAAGTTGTATGTTTATATATATAATTAAAAGGTTAAATGAAAATTAAGAGATATTTCTTAAACATTTATGTATTTTAATTATAATTTTTATTTTCATAATTTAAAAAAAAAAAAATATAATTTAATAAAATATTAAACTATTTATAAAAATATATTAAACCTAATTTTTTTAATATATTTATTAAAATGGTACAAGATCAAAAATAAATATGTATATGATTAATTTAGTAATTTCGATTAACTAAATTTTTTCTTATTTTTATAAGATCTCTTTTTGTCTCTAATTATAATTATGTTATTTATAATTTTTAATCAAAATCATTTAATACATCAACTTTTTTTTTTTTTTTTATAACATAAAATTTTATTTCGAAATAATTATGGAATCATACTTTTCTTCTCTGTCTCTCTATATATATATATATATTCTATAATTATTTTTTATTATATATATATATATATATATATATATATATATGTTATCCTTTATTTTCATTTATTCATAATTTATATTTATTTCTAAACCATTTCTACTTTTTTTTTTATATTGAAACTTTTTGAATATTAGCTCATTCTGGTATATTCATATATATTATTCATTATATATATTTATATTTACCTTATATTTAAATTAGATATTTTATTATCTTTTTTATTTTTATTTACTTTTTTATTAATATCCATCTGCTTATCATTTTTATCTTGATCATTATTTTCTTCATTTAATTCATATGGGTTGGTTATTTCATTTTTTATTTCTACTTCACTTGTATCACAATTATTATTTACATCGTTTTTTCTTTTTGTTTCATTATTATTGCATTTGTCATTCTCGTTACTTATCTTTTCTTTGTTTTCTGAGTCATTTTCACTCATTATTTCATCTTTATTAATCTCATTTTTATTAATTACATTTGTTTCAGTTTCGTTTGGTATTAATTTGTATGGATTTGCTTTAACAAACTTTTCGTAGTTTGATTTAATTGGATGAGGTCTTTCACCAACACATTTAACAATATCATGATAAGATATTGTTTCTTTTTGATATAATAAATTAGCTAAATTATGAACATGTTGTTCATTTTTTAATAAAATTGATTTAACTCTTTTATACTGAGTTTCTATAAGATTACGGACTTCATTATCAATTAAGTGAGCTAAACATTCAGAATGTGGTCTATATAGATTATATTCACTATTAGAATTAGGTTGAAAAGAAACTAGTCCTATTTCTTTATTCATACCATACTGAGAAACAAACGAGTAAGAAAGTTGAGTAACTTTATTTAAATCATCAATAGCACCAGTAGTAATTTTTCCAATAAATAACTCTTCAGCTGCTCTTCCACCTAATATTACCGCAATTTTATCTAATATAGCTTCTCTTGAAAACAACATAATTTCTTCACTTAAGTGTTGTGAATAACCAAGAGCACCATTGTTTCTTGGTATAATAGAAACTTTTAAAACTGGATCTGCAAATTCTAAAAACCACCCAATAAGTGCATGACCTGTTTCATGATATGAAATAATTTTTTTTTCGAGAGGTGATATAAGAGAAGAAGATTTTGGTAATCCACCTATAACTCTTTCAATGGCTAATTCAAAATCTTTTATTTGAACTCCTAATAAATTAGATCTCCTAGCGCACTGAATAGCTCCCTCATTAACAACATTTGCAATATCTGCTCCCACAAAACCTGGGGTTAAGGAAGCTAAAATATAGCTAATATTTTTAATATCTAAAGTTTCATGTAATTTTAAATTTTTTAAGTGAACTTGAAATATTTCTGATCTTTCATTAATATCTGGTTTACTTATATTAACAATTCTATCAAATCTTCCAGGTCTAGTAATGGCAGGATCTAATATATCCACTCTATTGGTACCAGCTAAAACAACCACTTTATCATTAGATGTATGAAACCCATCCATTTCAACTAACATCTGATTAAGTGTATTTTCCCTTTCATCATTTCCACCTCCTGCAAATCCACCTTTTGATCTTTTTCTTCCAACAGCATCAATTTCATCAATAAAAATAATTGAAGGAGCATGTTTTCTCGCTTGAGCGAATAATTCTCTAACCCTAGATGGACCTATACCAACAAAAACTTCAATAAAATCACTACCACTAATATTAAAAAAAGGAACATTAGCTTCTCCTGCTACTGCTTTTGCTAATAAAGTTTTTCCTGTACCCGGAGCACCACATAATAATGCTCCTTTTGGAATTTTTGCTCCTAAGATTTCATATTTTGAAGGATTTTTTAAAAAATCTACAAATTCCATTATCTCTTCTTTTGCTTGTTTCATTCCAGCTACATTAGAAAATTTTACATCTGTTTTAAAATTATTTTTATTGATAGGAGATATTTTACTAAACTTAAATAATTTATCCATACCACTATTTGTTACATTTTTTAAGGTAATTTTTTGAAATAAAAAAATTAATAATAAAAAAAATAATATACTAGGAATATAACCTTTTATTTCATTTAATATGTTCGTTTCATTCATGTATTGTACTTCTATTATTTCATCCCTATTTATATTCATTTCTTTTTGAATTTCTTCTACCTTTCTCTCAAAACTATCACTATTGCCAATTCGAAAACATACATATTTTAAATGATATTTTTTTATTCCATATGTATTTAAGTATGCTTTCACATAATCCTTATTTATTAACTTAATTTTTTCTACATATCCTTTAGACAAATAATTATAAAAAAAATCATTTTGAGTTATTTCATTATAAAGGCTATTCGAATCAACAAATAACAAAAAGAACAATAACAACAAAAAAAATATATAAAAAAAATAATTATCAAATTTTTTATTTTTCTCATCCTCAGGCTTATATGAATTAGGAGATGATTTTTTGTCTTCAAATCTTTCAAATCCTTTAGGTACTTTAGTAAAATATATTTTCAAAAATTCAAATAAATTTATTTTATCAATTTTATTGTTATACAAAATATTTCCAAAAAAAGAAATGTTTTTTTTTTTTAATTTACTTTCTTTTAAAAAATTAAGTATTTCTTCTATATCCTCTTTACTTTTATCTAAAAACTTATTAAAAAAAGAAATATATTTGTTATTTAATTTATTCCCACTTGGAAAATATCCCTTCACTTTATCATTTAAACTATTTGGAAGAAAATAATTATTTAAAAAAAATTTTATATTTTCATAATTTACAAAATTCTTTTTTATATTTTTATAATCAATTTTTTCATCTTTATTAACATTTGTATGATTCATTTTTATGTACTTCATAAACTTATTTTCAAAATGAAAATTATTTCTTTTCTTCCATTTAAGAATTAATTTTAAAAAGTAATTTAAAGAAAATTTATAACTATTATCATTACATATAACAATTTTATTAATATTTT